ATGACTTTGGTCCGGCAGAGAGTTCAAGTTCACAGCACGTTCTGACTCAACTCCGAGTTCGTCCGCAGAACATGAATGTGTCGTATTCTCCAAACACCGACACCTTTCATTGGCAGTGCCCCTGGATTCGGAATCTGGCGGCTGACATTCTGCACGGCATTCACCCACTACACCACCTTTTGTGTTCCGTTATATGCATAACACCACCATATTTTTCATTGTGAGATGTTTCTCTCTGACTCCTGTAGCTTCTTGTTGCACAGCTACAGTCTGATCAAGTCCTTCGTGGCAAAAAGGCCAACATGGCCCTTGAGCACAATATAGAGAAGGGCCATCACTGACTCAATGAAGGCTTGATTAAAGATCTATTGATTTAAGCACACCTTCACCACAGTGGACCTTGAATCCCAAGGCCATTGAGATAATTTATTGATTTCTTTTCTCCTTTAGCTGGAAGAAGGAGCATAGCAAGTACTTCCAGATGGGGTGCATACTCCCGGCGCATTCTCAGACCCTGACAACGGGTTCGATTCGTCACCTTGGACTCAAACCCTTACCCAGTTAGCTGGCGCTTCCACCTGTGCAGCCTTAACGCAGTTTCCTGCTTGTGACATCAGTTGGAGAATAGCCCCAACAACCACGAACGTCACTGCCGTTTGTTTAGAGGGTATAACTGCACCAAGCTCATGATATAAGTCAATACCTAATTTTGGAAAAAAAAAAAAGCCACCACATTTAAAATCATGTTTTTAATGACTTTTCTATAATTGTTGTACTACAACTTATGTGACTGACTCAAATAATAATGAAGGAAAAACCTTTTTTTTATTTCTCAGTATGCTTTACATGCATACTACAATAGGCGCAACTGATGAACTATGTGATTTTAAATGGCACAATTTGTTATTGCGATGTCGTTGCAGCGACTTTTTAATTACTCATTGCTTGCAGCAATATTGTTTGTTTATACAGATAAGCAATTACCGTGCAATTAGATAAGTTACTACAGGGAAATGATATAAATGATACTAGGTGCATAGTGCCAGTGATGTGGATTTAACACTGAGGGTGTTTATTTCAGTCCTTGAATTAACACTGCCAATTTCACTCTGTCTTATTGCCTACATTAACACGGCCCTTTCTTTTATCCCACTGATTAAAAAAATTCTTTAATGGCTTAATCTTATACCTCATAAAAAGTAGCCAGCACCTTATTAAAAATGTGGCCTGTTTACCCTTGGGGTCGGTCAGGACAGCCTTCCCCCGAGTCCGTGAACCCGGAGCTGCTCCAAGTCCGAGTCGCCTCGGACTTTTCTGCTCAGCCTCCAGCCTTTGTTTGGGTTGCTATGGCAGCCTGGCATTCAGGTTGGCCTCGACCGGAACGCCGAGGAGGCAGGGGGAGCGGGTGGTGCGGTAAGGCTCCACCAGGGGAGGAGCTAATGAGTGTCCCCCCCCCGCCTCCCGCCACAACCACCACCAACCCCAGAGACACTCCAGCCAAGTCAATGCAGAAACAGGACCAGCAGACATCTGATGGAAGAGGCTTCTGGGACTCGGCCACAAAGCAGCCCCCTTCCGAAAGGTCACAGGGATCAATGCGGTCGAGCCTAAAACAAACACACGCCCACCCGCTGGCCCCGGGTAGTGATGGGTCTCGTCCCTGACAGGAAGGTGATAGATCCTGGGAACAGGGCAGGTAGACGCCCACAGACGCTGGGTAAGAGGTGTTCCTGAAAGCATTGTCTTTTCAAATGCAATTTGGTGCTTAGAGCAGCTGTCTGAAGGCGGCAGTCTGAGCCGGGCAAGGAAGAGCAGACGGTGTCACTAAAGCATTCCACGTTTTGGCGCTTCAACCTGGTTAGGTCGCAATTAGAAATTTCATTAAGGTTCATTATTGTTTGAAATCCCCACAACTGTGTGCAAACCTGGCCAAGACTGTCTCATGTATAACCATGAACAAACCACAGAGCTCATCTACACAGGTCATGCTTCTGCTCCCGATGCCAAAACTTGCTGGAAATCATGTAAGACAAACGAAAGCAAAGTGTGTCCGGTCCTTTCCGGGGGATACTCCTGCATAGTGTACTATGTCAGCTGATGGTTAGCCTAGTGCGTTCTGTCGATTGTGCACCTTCTGCTGTTATTTCTGACTTAATGTAGAAGTGTGTCCAGAGGAGGTTGGTGATGTGCACTGAATACAATAATTAACTTCTGTACCACATGCTTTTATGGACATGGAAAAACAACCCCACTTTTTATATCTAACATTTACAGTTTATCTGTGTGTCTGTGTTCCCACAGGAAAATTTATTGCTCTAAGCTATTTTTTTTTTATTTCCGAGGGGGAACACTGGATATGTCATTTGTAATTCAGGAAGATAACTTTTTTTTTTCTTTCTAATTATTGCCCCCAAAATTGTTATTGTTGAGTTACAGAGTCTTAGTGATGAAGTATCAGTGTGGTACATGATAAACGATCAGGACATATCCCAGGTCAGGCAAGGAAGTCAATAAGATATGAGAATAAACTAATTTGTTATATGCCGTAACATACTAAAATGAGATTCCCCAGACTCTGCAGAGATCTATTTTTTAGATCCGGCTGAAGCTTCAGCAACAGTACAGAATAAAACCTGAGAAATCTGTGTGGCAAATCTCTCATCATGACAGAAAATACAGGGACCTTACTGCTGCTGACCCAGTCCTCTGGATTTTCAGGTGAAAATTTACATCTGTAGAAAACAAAGTTCTTAATTATTTATAAATACTCTTACTTTCACAGGCAGTTTTCCAATAAAAAAAAAACAAAAAAAAAACATTGAATCCTGAAGGTAGAACAGAACATACCCAGGGCTGACAGAGTTGCCACAATTCAAATTCTGATTTATAGCTAACAAGACACAAGCAACAGCTGAAAATGCTCACAAGAGGTCTGGTTGTTCATTTAAAAAATGCTTGGCTTCATGTGCATCCAAGCCCCGAAGATAAATGTCTCATCCACAAATATTTTAGTCAAAAGAGCAGGAACATTTCGGACACCCAGGTGAGATTTTGATTGAGGTAACACATATTAATCGTGCTGTTATAGGACAGCTGATGAGATTTTCTTCTCTGCATAACATGAGGTCTGAAAAACTCTTCCCTTTGACAGCAAAGAGTCATATATCATGCTTCTGGCAAGAACACTTCGTGGGAACACCTTGATGGGTTGTTTGTGAAGCCCTGGTATATAGGGATCTTTTTGGGGTGGAGGAATCTCTTTGGGGGAATAATATCACTTAGAATCATGAAGAGCAAACCATAAATCAGGGGGAAGCTGTTTCTTTATCAAGTATTGTTAGAGTATTGTAAGTGTTTTAACAACAGGTAACGGTTCCCCCAGATCTCATGCAAATGGACCGAGAAAAATAGGGTACAATCACACCAAGCCAGCATAAATAGTTACTGGTAATAGCTCTCCAACCAGATATACCTTTCAATGATCAGATTCATTATAGAAATATTTTGGCTTTTTCCCCTATGTTGCAATAAATATCACAAGCTGAATAAGACAGTATTTAAAAAAAATGTCCTTTGCATCACTTTATTATGGGACAGTATGATTTGGCAAAAGTGGTCAAGCACACATGTCTCCTGATGCCAAATTTACCCCAGATGAATATATGTTTTCTGCACAATTGAATTTATGTTAATGTAATCTCAACATGCTGAATTAGCCAGATTTGTCTCGAACAGCATTTTTGTCTTGCCTGTTTGTGTTTTTGTAATGCCGTCCGTGGCATTGAAATCCTACCAAGAGGCACGCCAAAGATCAAAATGCATGACACGGGATTCGTGTACAGTCTGTATTAAGTCGTTAGAGAAATTTACTGCAAGGGATTACAGATCTGTGACAAACTTCCAAAAAGGTGTCAGAGGCTAATATGGCAGCGGCGTGTAACAAATCAGTTGGGTTTTCACCCAGTCTCTGATTCAGTCTTAGTGTTTAACGGCTTACCATAAATAGGAGAGTAGCGCAGCTTTGTTGTAAGGCTGCTATTAATGGTTTATGAAGTCTTGTCTCTCTCAACCCACCTCAAGACAAAACTTAACCAGGAACTGGTTTGTATAGTTAATTTTTATCGCGATAATAAAGGTGAAAAAATAATCTCAGATATCCAGCTGAAACAAGCAGACTATCTGAGAAGCTGAGATATGTAATGATTTCTAACGGGACAGTAGGTCTCCCCAGTAGAGAAACTTACAGCAGTACAACAATGTAGCTGTTCCACGATCCATTTTAATACAAAGTTATATATATCCTAGTCTTTTACAGGGTTTACCCAGGCGTGTGGCCTGTGCTGTCTGGGATAGCTTCCAGGCCACCTGCAACACTAACAAAGATAAGCAGTTAGATGGATGGATGGATGGATGGATGGAAATCCATCCTTCCACAACTGCTTATCAAAATCAGGGCCAGGGTGACCATTTAAAAATTTTACTAAAATTTGATTGGTGGACAGCTGAACTGCTCCATTTGAGCAGGATAGCTTCAAAACAGTAGTGATACTTTTCCCGTGGTTCCGCCATCAGGTGATCTGCCAATACATAATGTCTGCCAGTTAATACAAATTGAAACCGATTGATGAGGTCTATTGATTTCAACTAAAGGAGCCACCCAGGCAGTCTGTAAGAATGCTTTCAGTGAACTCACACGGGATCATTATGACCTGCAAGAAAGGATTTGTTAATTTGTTAATTCTTTCTGGTTCGCTGTGATTCTGTTTGTTTACAAGAATTTGCATAAAGCTTTAATGAAACTATGTAAAAAAAAATCACAAGCTTATTTATCTTTGGTTTCATTTTGTAACATTTTTAAAAAAGCTTAATTGTTTTTCCTGCAGTTAGACTCTGTATAGTTAACTGTTAGCATATTTAAAACAAAATGGCCACCACCCACTAGCGTCACACAGAGAGAATTACATTGTTAGCAGATATTCCCTCAGTGCCCATTAGAATGGTTCCCTGTAACCTATTTGCATGATATCGCAGAGAGTCATTTTCCACTATTACTGGTCATAATCACCTGAGCAGGCAAAACTAAAGGCCTAATAATCACAACAAGAATGGGTTTTTCGATATCTTCATTTTATGTCAGCTGACAGTGAGTGACGGGCACCGGGAGATGATTCCCGTGTAGTGACGACGTTTTGCAAGCGAAGCACGTTCTGCGGGGATGTGGACAAGTAACTGGGGGCTGAGGCAGTAAGGGGCCACCCAAGGTGTAAGTACAGGCCAACTCTAGTGCATTACTGCCATTGTACAGTAAGGGAAACATTAGTATTTCTTTGTTTATATGTGGTAGATCATCACATATTACACAGAAAGACTTATTATTGCAAGGATCCATTTATGGTCAAACAAAGAGATTGGAGATGTAAGAAGCTCGATCTATCTTGCGTGTATTTACTCTTGCTGCTGCACTTGTTTTAACAAGCCGGGTTTTCAAAGGAATCGTATTATATACGCTGTAGTCTTTTCGGACCTTAAAACGCTCTGAAAGTTTTCTCATTTTATAATTCCGTGAGAGACGTCGATAAACATATGGAAAGAACTTTATCTCCATCTAGTGTTAATAATTCAACATTGCAGGTACCCTTACAAATTAAAAATGGAGACGAACTGAGCAGCAAGTTTCTGTCCAGCCATTAATTCTTCTTCTTCTTTCTTATTTTTTTAGAATGTTAATAACAGTGGTAATGACTTATTTTTCCTTATTTGACATCAGCTGTATTTCATGTAAGTTCAAATGTAAACGTGTTCATAACGTCTGATAGCAATGTGTAAAGAGACTTTTATGCGTTATTTTAATCCCTATAAAGTTTCGTTTTAAATGCAGAATATTAAAAATGGGGATTTTAGAAACCTGTCTTAGACTAATTTTTGAATATGAATTTGCGGATATTTTTGGAACTGATTTTAATTGCATGTTAGTTTAACGCAAAATACGTAAAATTTGACTTTTGCTGCCATCTCGTGGTCAAAATTCACGATGAACGCTTCAAAAGTAATCTTTTCAGGCAAATTTTATATTAATTTGATAAAAATGAGTTCGAAATCAGAAGAGTCAAGAGAATGCTATTTAATTTACCCTGCACCTGTCTAAAAATGAACCAAAACTATTTCCATGTTGCTTATATTAATGTATTAAGTAATGTGGTCTTTAAAAAGTACTTATTAGGATTACGACTCAAAACGCTGCGGTTCCTTTGATACGAACAACTATAAAATACGTGCCTGCCAACCCCTTGTGTGGACTTGAGCCTCGCTCATAATATAACGGCAAGTCATTTATATTGTGGCCACGTTTTACCAATTCGTTCCACCGAGGTATATAAATTTTATCGTTAGGTCATGAGCGAGGCTGCGTGCATTTTTCGAGTGATAAAACAGAATTCTGGGTCATACAGTCTCCAGTTAACCAATTAAGAAAATCAGCACAATCTACACACGGTGTTTGGGAAGTTACTCACAAAAGTAATCCATTAAAGACAGGTGTAGAAAGTTCAGGTCCAGAAAGAACAAATCCAGACCAAGGTTTTGGCTGGTTAAAACAAAATCTTGGTCTGGATTTGTACTTTTCTGGACCTGAACTTTCCACATCTGTCTTTAATGGATTACTTTTGTAAGTAACGTCCCCAATACTAGTGTAATTAGCTTCTGGCCATTGTTGAAATGAAAGAAAGAGACAGACAAAGGAAGTCGGACCTCAGAGCAGGGATAGGCAACCCTGATCCTGGAGTGTCGACCGGTATCCAGCAGAGTTTCCGTCCTACCTGATGAGTTACTATCTGCTGAGATCATATGTGGTTCATCAGAGACCAGGTAGTATAGAAAACCCGGATATTGGCTCTGCAGGATCAGGGTTGCCTACCCCTACTTCAGAGGTAGCATCATTTGTCATTGATCAGCTTTTGGGACACGGAAGGCTACAGTACCATGAAACGCTTTTCACGTTAAAACAGAAAGCCTTTCTGTATCTCGTTATAACGATAATAAGGTGACAAAGAGAGAACATGTTTGGAGCATGATAATGATTAGATTCTCAAGTTACCTGTGAATATAGGCCAGCCATTCACTGCATTTGGCACTGAAATCGGTAATGAAATAATGGCAGTGTTATGTAACCTGATACGTCTCCTAAACGTTTTGCTAGGATGACAGAGGCCTAGAGAGGCAATTATACGCCGCATGGAGGCCTCAGCTCCAGCGTTAGAGACTTCTGCAAAGCGGTAAGTGGCTGTCACTCCGTTAATACGTACAGGTGCAAACCTAGAAGGTGCTTTGCATAAATAGTCAAAACAGATTTTTAATGCATTAAGTTTATTTTTCAAGTATACCGTGGTGATTCAAGGTTAACCAACTATTAATCAGTCATGAAAGTCTTATCCTCCTGAGACTTTTTAAACTGTAAACCATCTGACCAGAAGGGAGCAGTATTTAATCACATAAATGCCCGACATTTCACCCAATGCCGAAAACAAAACGCTCATCAAGAAAAAAAAGAGTTAGCTTGATCACACACACACACACACACACATACACACACACACACACACACACACACACAAATTTAGCAGTGTCTCCTATTACCTCTTTCTCTTTTGAGGTTATAATCAGTTCTCTTGCTGCATTTTCGCCAGAAACTTTAACCAGCCTACTAAGAGACGGTGTGTTTTGGCTGGGAAATGCCGGCATTTTGCCCTGGTGATGGATAACTTATTCGCCCTCCATAAATGGCCCGTGTGCATCCAGAAATTAAAAAATGTCTCTCTGGGTTTAAGTTTCAGCCTTTTACCTGACTTATTTCCATATTTGAGCCTGGCCCATATGGAAGCTGAGCCCAGCAGTCCGAGGTCTCACAGCGCTGACGCTGATCTGCCATGACCCCTCCCTTGTCTTTCTGGATACCATGGTGATGCTCGCAGCCCGGCAAGCTGTTCACACTCTGCTGAGCCAGACTTTCGGCTCCTCGGGAGTTTTGGGAAACACAGTGCCCTGTGCGGGCCTTCAGGTGCCGGGCACCACGGTGTGGTAACGGCAAGGGTGGTATTGCTCTGCTGCCCTCAAATGATCCCCGGTGAGTCTCCACCCTGTCACCAAATGGTAATACTGCACATGGAATACATGGGGGGGGGAGGGGGTGCTTTATCTCAAGCCTTCATCCCCCAGGATGCTCTGCTTGGGAGGCTTGTTTGTTGTTGGTGGGCAACAGTTTCTTCGTCTTGGGGGTGTGTGGGTTTTTCTAAAGGAAATGCAGGTGATTGATGAGCCACAGAAAAGAACGGCAGTCTGGCACAGAGCTGATAAAGCAGTGGGATGCTTCATCCATAATCCCAAGTGTCCCGGGGGGCATCCACCGAGGACTGCCTGGACCCAACCGCACCCAACCGCACCCAACCGCACCCAACGCAGGGACCACCAGCGCTGCTCATGGGCATCCAGGCTGCCGCCTCCGAGATGCCAAAAAAGCAATGGTCTTCATTAACGGGAAATATGCTATTTGAATTCAGAAGCAGTGAACTCCTGAAGGCATGCCCTCAACCCTTGGCTCACAGTGGGAAGGGGGGCAGGATATTCGTATGGATGTCCGGTTAGCAGGGTACAGAGACGCGCTGCTAAACTTTACTTGAAAACTGAGACTGCTGACAGCATATTAATTAGCTTCCAGGACCTGCACTTACTTATACGTTGTCTTGGAATCTTTAATTATGTATGAATACAATGTGGAGGGACCTTATTAAAAGCGAGGGTGTATAATTTCAATATTGGTAGGAACCAAATCGTCCCTGAACCCCCTCCCCCCTAAACACACACGGTGCTTCCACAATATTGGTAGAGACATGTCCCTACCATCCACACCCAAACCGACTCCCATGATATAAAGCCATTTCCCTCTGTGGTGTGCATCTCAGGAATTGTAATTCCTCCCCCCCGCAGTTGAATCTGCAAAGTATGGCAGTGGGGTCCGTTCAGCCGTGATGCCGATGGATTTCAATCCAAAATTATGTATGCACCATAAAATCCTAATATCGCAGAGGGGCTCCGACCAATTAGCTGCTCAAAAGGGTGGAGTATTTCTGAGTGCCAGGACGGCATGTGTTCATGGTAAGATGGAAAATGTTTTCAATTTAGCATGTGTTATTAACTATGGCAGCGATTGTTCTGAACAAGAATGCAGCTGTCCCATACAGCGATCCATTTATCTTCTAATCATGAGTCCTTATGAGGGTTACGGGGGGGGGCTAGAACTTATCTCAGGTAGCGGAGGACATAAGGTTGGGGGACAGGATGCTCGTCTGTCATAAAGCGCATACAATACAAGCAATTTAGACAAGCCAATAAGCCTGTCTGCACGACCTTGGACTGTGAGAGGATACGCAGGAGAAGATGAAAATCCGACAAACAAAGAGCAGGGATTCGAACCCCCAGCCACAGAGGCAATAGTGCTCTCCACTTTGCATCTTTCAAAAGACATAAAGGGTAAAGCAGCATCACTGAAAACAGCCAGTTATGTGAACTCAGCTCCTACTCCTACTTACCAGCAGTACTGCATTAAAAGAAAGCCAGCTGAAAATTTAAATGTTCTTTCATCTGGTTCTGAGGTTAATCAGGCTGTGTGGGAGGTACGGGGAGGGGGAACTGAGTACTCATTTGTCTGCTGATCCTGGAGGTGCTCGTTAGCATGCCAGGTGCCAGGTGACTAAGAAGTTCCATTGATCTCTGGAATAGATGGAAGCTACACGTGAGTCACTGCCAGGAGAATGGCTTCCTGATTCTGGGGCTGTGCAGCCAGTTCTCGCCGATGCATTGAGGAGGTCGCCCTCACAGTGAAAGCAATCCATACATCTCCCATGGGTCTAGAACACTGGGAACGGAACATTCCAACCTCCATATAAATCATCGAGGAGCTCTTCCCCTCAGTAAAAGTGATCCATACATCTCCCATGGGTCTAGAACACTGGGAACGGAACATTCCAACCTCCATATAAATCATAGAGGAGCTCTTCCCCTCAGTAAAAGTGATCCATACATCTCCCATTAGTTTAGAACAATGGAAACAGAACATTCCAACATCAGTATAGATCACTGAGGAGCTCTCCTTCACAGCGAAAGTGATCCACCCATCATCTGTACAGATCACTGCATCGGCGATCAGTGTTTTCGAATAAACATCTGTTTCTCTGTATCCCTGAATGGTTCAATAATCAAATTTTTCTCTCTCAGGTGAAACTGCTTGCATTTCATGACCCCCTTAGTGGGGTTGGAAAGACAGCATTAGTTTGCAATTATACATCGCCAGTCTACCTTTTCTAATCGCATCTTAAAGAATTCTATTTTGAAGTTGCTGTGAAGGAATGAAAGGACTGGAATTAATTTGTCCGCTTTATTTTCTGTATCTCTTTTCGTTTACTGCGACCTTGTGGAGAAATGCCACGCACCATTTTATACATTTACTGCTGTCATAAAAAAAGAATATTTCTCAGGACTTTTTGTAATTGGTGAAGCGTTCCCAAGCTATTAAAAAAAAACATAAAATAACTTCCTTGTTGTTAAGCCTCGTATGACAGACAGAGTTTATTAGTTTTTCTTGTCTCCTCATGTAGCATATTTAGAAAAATAATTTCCATAGGAAGCCAATAGCCCTTTACTTTGTGTGCTGAGCCACACTTTTTTTTAAGCTGCATGTTCACATTCATATATAACAAATCTTCCCTCTCGTGAAAAACGCGGAGCAGAAAACAAGGGAAAGTGGTGAAGATGGAGGTGACTTCAGAAAAAGCACTGGAGCCAGAATTATTGAAATCTTATGGGCACATTTTGCATTTTGTCAGTCCGGTTCTGCTGTTGTATGCTTTCCAATCGCAGGCAGCAGGCACCGGTCCATTTAAATTTCACCGACAAATGATTCCTTTGCCCGATACTATGTTTAAATGGTACACAGCCTAAACAGAGAGCTACATAACAGAACTCCATTGTATTCTGGATAACACAACTGCTAAACCAATTTTCAGTATGTCCTGGCTCTGAATAAGTAGCAAGTAAAAATTATGCTAGGTCCCCGACTCATGAAACATGGAGGGCACCAAAACGCTAAAGTGATTTAACAGAAATCACTCTAGTCAGAGTCAATTCAGATTCTGTGAATGGGTTTCTTTGTTTATAAGAAGCGTGTATTGGTCCGTGTTTTGTTTTGCGTACTATTATATGAAAGCAAAACCTTGAAAGCAGTGGAATAGCTAAGCGTGAGCTATATCTGGCATCGCATACTGACATGGACTCTGTTTGACGTAGCTAGCTTAATTCGTGTGTGGCCTGTGTTTCCAAGTCTATTCGATTTGCAGTCCCAGACAGGGCCACCAGAGGGCTGCCAAGAGTTCAGTGTTGACTTTCAGTAGCACCCGGTTCCTGGCCCCTATTTTAAAGTCTCTATAAAGGCCTGAACCACAGTGGTCCTCACCATCAGCAATGCCTCATCCTACATCTCATCATTATTATTCTGCAAGCTGTTAGGTTATTCTGTGAGCCGTCAGATTATTCTGTGAGCCTTCAGGTTATTCTGTGAGCCATTATGTTATTCTGTGAGCCCTCAGGTTATTCTGAGAGCTGTTAGGATATTCTGTGAGCCTTCAGGTTATTCTGTGAGCCCTCAGATTATTCTGAGCCCTCAGGTTATTCTGTGAGCCATTAGGTTATTCTGTGAGCCCTCAGGTTATTCTGAGAGCTGTTAGGATATTCTGTGAGCCTTCAGGTTATTCTGTGAGCCCTCAGATTATTCTGTGAGCCCTCAGGTTATTCTGTGAGCTGTCAGGTTATTCTGTGAGCCTTCAGGTTATTCTGTGAGCCCTCAGGTTATTCTGTGAGCCATTAGGTTATTCTGTGAGCCCTCAGGTTATTCTGTGACCTTTTAGGATATTCTGTGAGCCATTAGGTTATTCTGCGAGCCGTTAGGATAGCTGTTAGGTTATTCTGTGAGTTGTTAGGTTATTCTGTGTGCTGTTAGGATATTCTGTGAGCCATTAGGTTATTCTGCGAACTGTTAGGTTGACAGCTTCCACCATGTTGCAGATTAATTGGAACATCCAGACTGTGCATATTTGGCCTAGAAAACAACTAATCATCTTCTAGGTTTGTCACAGCAAACATGGAAGGTTTCATTAAAGTACTGTTGTTGTGATAGGTCAAACAAGGGCTCATTTAATAAAAGCTATAAAAAGACAGGGACCTTAGGAAAGATTTTCATAGTTTTAGTTGCTTGATAAGGGTGGCGTGGCGGCACAGTGGTTAACACTGTCTCCGGTGTGTGGAGCTTGCATGTTCTCCCTGTGCTGTCATGCGATTTCCTCCAGACATGTAACGGTTTGTGTAAATAACCAACAGGATCAGCTATTCTAGCGCTTCTCCTCGCCGGTTACTTTGGTCAGCAGTACCTGCCTCCCCCAAAGCCCAAGGTGATCGGTTTGGACTTGGGGACCACGTTCTGCTCCGTGGGGGTTTTCCACGCAGGGACCGGCGACGTGGAGGTCATCGGCGACCAGGAGGGCCGGAAGAGCATTCCCAGTGTGGTATCGTTCACCGCCACAGACATCCACGCAGGCTATGAGGGGCAGGAGCTGGCGGACAGCAATCCCCACAACACCATTTATGATGCCAAGTGCTTCATTGGGAAAATTTTTGAGCCCGAGGGCTTGGAAGAAGAAAGTTCCCGTTATCAATTCAAGGTAGTTAACTGGAAAGTCCGTTGTTTTATTAATTACACAAAACTTCTAAGTACAAATAATTAAATTTTAAGCTCATGGGAGTTTTACTCACACAAAAGTGCTCTGAGGGCTGAATGGAAAATGATTGGCTCAGAGGGATAACCAATCAGATTGTAGAGGAAGTGGGCCCAAGCAACTAGAGGAGGTGGGACCAACATAGTGTATCCCTAGATAGTCCACATTTTTGCTCCCTCCCAGCTCTCAACACACCTGTAGCAGGTATTTGGTGCTGTTCTTTGCTTTATTTGGTTCAGCTGGAAGGTGAGAGGGGGCAAAAATGTGGAATGTCCAGGGGTCCCTGAGGATTGGGTTGAGAAACAGTGCTATAACCCACCCCAGTCTCAATGATATTCCCTGGTCAACAGTTAAAACATTAGCTGATATATATCAGTATACTTCAGACATGTATAAGCAGGCTGCAGATAAAGCTTTTGTTTAAATGTCGTTTGAAAAATAATGAGAATCCAAAGAATTCTTCCCCAGAAATCCCCATATGCTGATTGTATGGTGTAGTAATCAGTAAATAAATGCTGAGAACCTTCCAGAATTCCACCACACAGTTTTAGCTTTACGCCTTGTATATTTACATATTTGCATAATATTAATGCTTCATGTTTTTCGCCGTGAGAGCTGGCTTCACGTACTATTCAAGGAATGGAACTAGATAAAAGTATTGCGGGGTAGATTGTGGAAAAGGTTTTGCCGCACTGCATGAAAATATCTTTAAAACATTCAGTCCTGTAAAATGTTAAATGGACACCATCCCAAGCTCACTTTTGATGAAAGCATGTGTAGTATGTTTTAGATATTACCATTCCAGCCTCACTGCTGCGGAGTGATTGGCATTCCAATGAGTCTAGTACATTCTACTCCTGCACACTGCATGGAGGAGTTAGGATGTCCTTCATAGAATTTACAAACTTTCTTTTATTTCAGTGAACCTCCTTAGTAACTGCAGGCAAATATAACAAGAAAACACAAACTAAAGAACCAGGAAAACCAGGCAAGTAGACTTCACACTGAAAATGTTCTTTGTTCTCTGTTCTATAAATGGTCTATACTGTACCATCGTCTAAGATCCTAGCCTGGAGGATACAGTGACCCCACCCCTCAACGTTCATCCCTTTATCACCCCTCTTGGGCAACCTGTCTTGATGTAAGCTTTCTGTAGGTGTCCGTCAGGGTGTGAGTACGTGGCCAGGTCTGCAAGCAGCCATATTGCACAGACAGGAAAGTTCCTACGACTTTGTAATACTTCGTAGTCTTGTCAAACACTTTGAGAAAATATTTTTTCTCACCTACCACTTTAGGTTAGTGTCATGCAAATTGATTTAAACTGTCAACTGAAAAAAAACTTGGCATTTTCCACTTCCTTCTTATCAGAATGGTACACAACGCCCCTGTCCTTTCACATTCACCATGTCTGCTTCACCAGACAGAAGTAATATGTTAATTCTATGAATTTTTAATGGGGATGCACACAGTTTAGGCGACCCAGAAAATGGATGGGTGAAAAATGCCAGGCCTTCTGAGTGACCTAGTTGGTGCAGACAGACTCTGGTAGCTACAGAGTTTGCTTCGTAGCCCCCGCAGGTTGAAATACCTGGACAGGAAGCTGAGTATGTAGCCAGTGCCAATTGTGCGGTGAGGCAATGTGAGGAACAGCTATCAGCTGAGAGGACAGAGCCCTGGAAAACGTCTCACTCACTGTCTGTAAGGCAATGGTTCACTGGCATTCACTGGCAATGGTTTGCAGACTTCGTGCAGAAGGTAAGAAAAATCAGTCAAAAAATCTGTTTTGTTAAGTGCACAAATAATTTGACTTTCAAACTTTGATGGCATTTTTGCTTTTGAGGAACAATGAATCCGCATCAATCCATCCATCCACCCACCCAATTCTGTGGGGGGTCTGGAATTTATTCCAGGGCAGGGGGACACAATGGGTAGGATGTCAGTCCATCAGAGGACATACACACACACAGTCACACACACAAACAAAATTGCAGACGATCACACACTTTTGGGACACTGGTTTGCCTAAATGCATGTTTTTGGACTGCATATGGAGACTGGAATACATGGGCAGTTCAACTGAAGCTTTAGACTCAAGTTACTGCTGTAAATTGAATTGGACCAGAGCTTCTGTTCCCGTTTGTCATTCCAGCAGGTAAGTTCAGAAACAGGAACTGCAGCGTTGAGAACATACTGAGGTGTGTAACACATTTATAATGTTACTGTCCAACAACCACATACAGTACATGTTTATCTATCTATCTATCTATCTATCTATCTATCTATCTATCTATCTATCTATCTATCTATGTCTCTGTCTGACTTAGGATTCCCTTCAGAGAATTAACACACTTTTTTTTTTTATCCTTTCGGCGAAGCTCCTTAGTAATTATACCATTCCAGTGTCACTGTTCCAGAATGATTGGCATTCCAGTGGGTTTAGAACATTGTAGAGTTCAAATTATGTTGTGAACTTACTGTGGGGCAGGACTATTGGCGCCTAATGAAAGAAGAGGGCATGTGGCCTTCAACACATAAGTATCTATCTGACACGGGCCAGCTGAGGTGCCAGGGGTGATGCACAGGATGAAGACCAGCCCAAGCCGGGAATTACACTACATGACTGAAGGTTGATCATCTACCTGTATATTTGCACCACGTCCATCTGAAATTATCAGCATTTCACCTACCCTTCCATTCCTCTTCCAGCCACATATCCTGGGGGGGGGCAGCATAGGAGATGTATGAAAATAAATACATGATCAGAAATATGGCATGCTACAAATAACACTATGATATACATTATCAGAATAGGCTGACCAAATAAAGCAGATTTCATTTTTAATGGTCGGGAATGATGGAAGCACACACATGCTGTCAGATAAATTGATTTATAATGACACAAAAATGACAGTGATAATGTGGGCTGGCGAATGTACTTTCCCTTTATCACTGGCCTGTGGAATAGAGCCAGTTGAAATCTTTAGATCTCTGTCTACAGTGAGCCGGCAGGAGGTAGAACGGCAGCAAAGGGCTGGATTTGGGTAGGCGCTTGCGTTGCCATGGCGATTGATTACCTGCCCCAAGTCTTACATCCACCGTGGTTAATGAAAGCCAGCTGGGCCCCGATTGGCCTCATTTTGTTATTGGGGCTTAAACAGGTCCCACTGGGTTGTTGTGGGAGACTTTGGAAGTCTGGGAGCCGCTTCTGGTGAGTAATATGGGTTTGGTAGATGGTTTGGGTCATGTGGCACTATTTCTTTGCATTTACTTTGAATTCTGTGCCCTTGACCTTATTACAATCTTGTATTTTCTTCAGTAAGCTGCTGCGTTTGGTTGAATCTTGATATGTGGGATCTCCTCTCCTTCCACATCGTGTAATTCTTCACGCGGACGGCATTGTGTATTGTTGCTATCGTCTTTTTTTTGTTATTTTGGATTAGGGCTTGGGATGCGTACTCTAGCCCTGTGCTATTTCTTTGATATCATTTTGCTGGGGCTTTTCGTGGGACCTCAATCTGCACTGTGGTTTGCCATCAGAGGAATGCAACTGTGTCACCGCTGATATTCAGGAGGACGTCAGCCACACACATCTGTGGAGACGTAAACATCTGCAGCAGGTTTTAAAGTGTAGCAGAGCCAGAGATTTTGCCTAATGAGGCTGTGAGTCGCTGCTTTGAGATTTTGTTGGTGTGTGTCTGTGTGATTTGCAGAACCGTTTTCTCTGGCATGACTAGGGATACTGGCCCGATTTAGCCGGTGAGCCCCAGAATCACTTGAGATGGAGTTACTGCAAGCAGTGGGGGTGGGAGAATTAAGGAGGATGTAGAGGAGGGTGCTGATGTGACAACTTTTGATTAAGTGACTCTTTGGGGAGATGCTGTGCTGTCTGTGTGGAAGTGATGCCTTTTTTTTTTTTTTTTCTCCGAGAAACTATTCATCAGTTTTGGTTTTCTAAGCTTGGCCTCCGGCAAGGTGGTGATTGATGCCATGTGGTGTTTGTCTCAAACGCGCCTTGTTTCGCTTGAGGAATCATTGTTTCAGTCTGATTATGTGGTGGGAATCGGGGCAGGGGGATTTTAATTGGCATAGATATATGTGTTGTTTCTTGGAGAGTGGCTGCGTTGTGGGCTGGTCAAAATCCTGCATTCCTGAAGAAGCGACTCCCATCGCAGTGTGATGACAAACGGCAGAATGTTGACTTGTAGCCTCTTCATGACTCCTACTATGGGCAAGGCCCAACGCGAGCAGCATCCTTTATGCCTTTGTTCTCGGCTGAGTAAGCTCAAATCATCCAGTGAAAGGCGACATAAATCCTAGAGTAAATTTTATTTTTGGCTCGCACACAACTGCCAAGTCCCATATGTAAACAAGTGTACGTAAGCTATATGCAGGCTCCAAGTTTGGGAACATTCACTTCCGCGGTCCTGTTCGGAATCCAGGGGAAAGAAGACATTTCTGCGGAATGCCGTCTTTAAGTGGAAGCTCATGATCAAGTTCTTCTGAAGGACACACAGTAACAATCTGTGAAGCCGAGTTTTAAAAATCAAATATGCCTTGTAAGAAAGGAAGATTCTTTCTTTCTTTCTTTTTTTTTGTGCTGACATTGCGATTGTTTTGAAAAAGTTTGCATGTGTAATACTTTTTCTCTTTAAAGAAATCAGCCTGTGTAAAATACCGCCTCAGACAACCTGGCATGAAACTCCGCACAGCTTGTGCGCTAACTAACCATGTTTTCGCGCAGCAAGAGATCTGCAATGCCGTCAGGGAGGCCTGTCTCTTCTGCGGTGGGCCTCCGCGTAAAGCCCGGACCAAAAATAAAATGAGTGAGATGTCGGTTATAAAAACGCTGCCCCCCCCTGGGCCGTGTACTTTCATCCACACGACTCGCTCTCCCAAAGCCTGCTCTGACACTCGATTTGAGAGTTACGCATCGCGTCCCACGATCTCTGAACACCTCGGCTCAGAATGCCGCTTCCTTCGGGGTATCTAACGCCCCGGGGTTTGTAGGTGGTAGGATGGAAAGGGTGTCGTTTTCATCGTCGGACGCCACTGAGCTAATGTTTCACGTGGGAGAATATCGAAAGCTCCTTAATGATCCCCCCCTTCGTCTTTGGCGGGATTTTGCAGTGGTGTTGTGTAACAGCATCTCTGGTAGCTTGGTGGCTCTGACATTTCATTCAGCAAGCCATAAATTGCATGAGATGCAGTGGGTCTGGCTGTCAAAGAATAAAGGTTAATATGGGACCTAAGTAACATGTATTTTCCGAATTTGACTTGGAGTACCTACTCATCATGTGGGGAGGTGCAGTCACGCATCCCTTCTCCATAATGTGTACCTTCACAGTGAGCCGGGGGCACTCCAAGAAAGCAGTGATGCACAGCAGGCTTCGCCTTTCAGATGTTTATACATAATTCACAGGCTAAGAGGGATTTCCTTCACTTGGCCGTTGAACTTTTTGCACGAATACCTTTTACGGACAATGTAGCTGCGGAGAACCTTATCCCCCCCAACCTGAGGTCCCGAAACGTGACTGACGCATGTCACCTGCTGTAATGCTGGTGGCTTGGATTTCATTGTACTCTGCCAGACTGCCACTTTATTTTCTCCTCTGGGTTTCTCCACGCGCTGAGGCAATCGCCCCCCCGTAGACTCCAAAAGAGACACTGCGTCATCGGACACTGGTCGGCACCCCCGGCCTAGAAAGAGGTGACTTTGGGCTAAATTATTCAGTTCTGAGTGCTTGTAGTGCCGACATGCTGACTTGAAGGGGAAAATTAATATTGCGCAAGCAGAGGGGGTTAATAATGAGTCAAAGGCAGAGGAAATCACGCGGAAAGTTATTTTCCTGCATGCCACTGTTCTCTCCATCAATCTCTGCTGCCATAGCAACTACTGTTTTTCTGTAGACCCTTGCTGTCGGGTTGTCTTTCTTTTGCCAGCGTACGCAGTGTGCAGGATGGGCAGTGTCAAGGGTGCCACCTGCAGGTCAGTGAGGTGTATGGCTCTTTGTTTCTGGCTTCCTGCTTCATTGACACATGGGCTACAATAGCACTCGGCGTCAGTGGGACCTAGCGTTGCCGCTTAAAAAGAGCACCGCTAATGAATGCCGGTCAGTTCGATTATGTCTGCGGCAAACCCGCTGTGTGCCAAAAAACAAAGAAAGGCACCAGGCATCTGGGACGTGTCGTGATTGTTAATGGGGGGGCCTACGGCAAAATTCCTCCTGTGATTGGTTCCCAGACCATTGTATTAAAGTTCTGATTCTCCCAGCATTGTCAATAGTGGGGGGTGGGGATTACTTTGTCGTTGATGTATTAAAAAAGCCCATCTGGCTGATTTTTCTGAAATAAGCCGAAGCTGCAACACGAAACGCAAAACTAATGTACACTGAAAGCATCTCGTACAGAGTGATCCAGCAAAAACTCTCTCTGTTACAGAGGCTTCACATTTCAGTACATCAGAGCAAAAACACCAGACTGCAGTGAAATACCGGCTAACTAATGACCCAACAGGAGCGAGCTGGGAGCTCAATGGGGGGGAAAAAGATGTTTGGTGTGTGATGGACAAACGTTGACCGTTCTATTCCAAGCTACGCTATGTGGGGAAACTCTGCACGTTTCAATAATTAAGTGAGCAAGTTAATTCCACTCTAAAGGTGTACAAGTGGTGAATGCTTTCAGATCTTGCAGTAAGTATGTGCAGCTGGCCGTCTGTACTTGAGGGATGTGGGGACGCACAGAATAGATCATGCGGTGTGGGACGCTGCGATCTGGGAAAAGCGTATTGAGTGCCATTATTGACAGCTGTGTGTTTTAGGCTGTTAAGGCCCACAGCAGAAGAGGCAGGTTCTATGATCACTTGCTTGCCTAGCAGCGGCCAGAGTAGTCTGATAGACTTCTCAGGTGTAAACCATCGACCACATCCTGGTACAGAGGGTTCTCATCGAGCACAAACGCGAATATCGGTAATGTTTATTTGCTGCCCATGTCGATTTTTGATAAGCGTTCAACTCAGTTGATCGAGTTGCCGTGTGGATAATCCTGAGATTTTTACGGGGTCTCCCCGAATTTGCTGGACATCATGGCCGGCCTGTGCATTGGTGCTGTGCAGAGCGCAGGGAGAACCTCCATCTCCTTCCCAGCTGATTCTGGGGTTCGCCAGGGGTGTGTTCTGGCTCCTACTCTGTCCAATGCTTGCATGGAGTGTTGGGCAGGATCATGGGGTCCAGCGGTTGTGGGGTGTCTGTTGATGAAGAAAGATTCACTGATCCTGACATTTTTGATGATTTTGTGACCTTCATGGAGTCAATGGAGGCTCTGACCACGGCTCTCAAGAGACTGAGTGAGGAGTCTGAGTGTCTGTGATCACGAGTGTCCTGGATAAAGACCAAGACCCGGGCCCTTAATGACTTCTTGGGCACAGCCATCAGTAGTGTGTCTGTCTGCGGGGGGAGAATGTCGACCTCATCCAGAGGTTAACTTACCTTGGCAGTGACATTCATGTCTCTGGTGACCTATGAAATCAGAGTACTGACTGGGAGAGTACTGACTGGGAGAGTACTGACTGGGAGGTTGCTGAAAAGGGGTGTGTGGCACACCTGATTTATAAGAGGACGAATGTCCAAGTCCTGGAGAATCCTGGTGCTCCCTGTTTTGTCGGACGATTGTGAGACCTGGATGCTACCCAGTGAACTAAGCCGAAGACAGGACTGCTTTGGTAACCTCTTTGGAGAATCGGTCGCTTGGGGAGTCCCAAGTAAAATGTGTGTGGTCATGTATACAGACGTGTGAATCATTCTTTAGCTGGTATTGTCTGGAGCAGCGTAACTGGCCATTGTGACAAAATAAAAGGTGTTTGTTTTTGTGTGTTATTGGTAAAACCCATGCCATGCACATTCTGAGGGGGCTTGTGGGTGGGGTGGGGTGGGGTATAAAAGGTGTTTGTTTTTGTGTGTTATTGGTAAAACCCATGCCATGCACATTCTGAGGGGGCTTGTGGGTGGGGTGGGGTGGGGTATAAAAGGTGTTTGTTTTTGTGTGTTATTGGTAAAACCCATGCCATGCACATTCTGAGGGGGCTTGTGGGTGGGGTGGGGTGGGGTATAAAAGGTGTTTGTTTTTG